GTTTTGTCAAGATTCTAGTACGAAAACAGCGTTGACACTCAATATAATAAAATCTTCCACTATATGCCAAAACAACAGAAGGATATATTTTGGCCAAAGTGGTGTTAGCACAAAAGTCGATTAACAAATAAACCGATTTTATGCTTCTGCTTTGTTTATTTTCTGACTTAGTTTACAGTTATTGTACCATTTATCCACTTGATGGTGAGGGTAGAGAGGCGGACAAAGACCAATAATATCTGCTGGCCGAGTAACTTTAAAGGTCTGTGGCGAGGAGAGAAGCCATGTGATGGGGAATGGGTCGGGAGATTGTGACTTCTCCATTGAGAGTTGAGGGGCCACGGTGAATTAGCTTGATTTGCCTCTGAATGGAGACCGGCCATTATTCTTGTTAGGAAGCTGTCAGATTGAATAGAGAAAGTAAAAACCTCCTTTCATCAACCTTTTCCAAGTGAAACTGAACAGGCAATCAATAACTGAATTGAGACTCTAGGGAGAGTCAAGCAGAATGATATGGGGGTGTTGAGACTGGGTATTTGTCACGTTGCTAATGGATGAAGGGCTAATAAGTGATTATGGCACCGTTTGGTGGTGAGAACAACAGCAAATTAAAAATAGCAAATCAATGAAGTCATCCCAGAAAATGGAATTAATAGTTCTGAGCAGAAATGACCAAATACTAATGGAAATAAATAAAATGATAATGATAATATGTTTTATATAATATGTTTTATATAATATGTTTTATATAATATATATATATATTGAAATTCTAAGTCTGTAAACATTACATGTGAATATTTACTTCAAAAATCTTTAATTAATCATGACTACTTTACATGTATTCTATTCTCATTAACAGATACTCATTATGAATGAAGATACATTATTATGTTATTTATTACTGATGTGCTTTTTTAGATATTCAAAGAATTGCGTCTGTAATAACACGCATTGGGAGTATCGGCTTGTTTTATTAAAGGAAGGACCATATTGTTTTTTTGGTTTTCATTATACTGGTCGTATTGTGCCATTGTCCCAACTCTGACACCATGATAAAGCATGAATACAGACAGAATTATGGAGAATAGAAAAGAGCCCATAGTGTTGAACCTGTTCAATTATCTCTCCACACTCCGACAACATGGAGGGAATAACACACAAGCTTTAGCCCAAGCTGCTCTCAACACTTCAACGTAGTTAGAACCATTGTCAGAACCGCCGTTCGATCCATTGTCAGAACCATGAATGCCGATGAGAATTTGAGCTGCTTACTTTTTCCGTTACTCACACACACTTTCACGTGGATCCTTTGTCATACTGTGTGATTTCTGCTCCAAGGCATTGATACATAAACAAAGCAAATATAGAATTAATTTAAATTTAAAGCATAGCAGTGCATGTGAATCAAACACATGATTTAAAATAAAGAAATAACAGCATAAACGGACAACGATTATTTATTTTTCCTAATAAAAAATAAAATACAAAAATCTTTCATTTTCAGTTTAAGAGCAAGTATAAAGGTAGTGGGATATGCATCGTTTGTTGGACTTAAAATATGTTAATGTTTTTAAATACATTCGTCAACTAATTTCCCCATATTGGGGTTTTCCATTTTTACGCTGGATGGAGAAAATGAATCGGATCATTTGGCCTCATCAATCAATTTAGTAATTGATGTCTTAATTGTCTGCAGTGTTCTACAGTTAATTGAGCACCTCCATTGAGCTTGTCATTATTCCCAAAGCTCAGATACACAGACCAGAAAGCTTTACAATGCCCAGTGTGGGTTTAAACAAAACATCCCTTCTAGTTCTATTCCCAGACGACCAAAACACACACGTATTCGTAGCCGAATATCCGGTTGCTATTGCTAAGAATGTGAACAGACCTTTATGGAAGACCTTTTTTAAAATCTGCTATATATAGAGTATAATCAAAAATACTATATTCCTTCTTCCATTGTAAGACTTTGAGAATCTGCATGTGGGTCCCTGGAATATTTCTGCTGTCTTCCTGCTTGGTGAAACTGCTCTTTTCCCACCAGTGGCGATGCCATATTAGGTCTCCATCAGAGTAATAAACAGCCATCCATCTTCTGTGCACTGTGAGGCGATAACACCCCGTAAAACACCCTGTAACAAATACCTCTACATCAAATGATGAACTTACCTCACCTCAGGATTGATGCCTGATACACAGAGCTGCACCGCAGATTTTCATTTATTACCCGTCACTGTCCTCCTTTCTCCCTCCATAAACCCAACACACCTTCACATTCTCCCTCCATAAACCCAACACACCTTCACATTCTCCCTCCATAAACCCAACACACCTTCACATTCTCCCTCTATAAACCCAACACACCTTCACATTCTCCCTCCATAAACCCAACACACCTTCACATTCTCCCTCCATAAACCCAACACACCTTCACATTCTCCCTCTATAAACCCAACACACCTTCACATTCTCCCTCCATAAACCCAACACACCTTCACATTCTCCCTCCATAAACCCAACACACCTTCACATTCTCCCTCCATAAACCCAACACACCTTCACATTCTCCCTCCATAAACCCAACACACCTTCTCCCTCACAATTCCCTTCTGTCTCGGAGTAACCAGACCAGTTAAACACTTCAGACCCGGGACACTAGAAGTGTCTGAGACCTCCAGGGCCACACAGGGGATTCATTGGGGAGTCCAGCATGGGCCAGCTGAGGGCTGTGAGAACCAGGTTAGGGCTGTGAGAAACAGGTGAGGGCTGTTAGGGCCAGGTGAGGGCTGTGAAAACCAGGTGAGTGCTGTGAGAGCCAGGTGAGGGCTGTGAGAACCAGGTGAGGGCTGTGAGAGCCAGGTGAGGGCTGTGAGAGTCAGGTGAGGGCTGTGAGAGCCAGGTGAGGGCTGTGAAAGCCAGGTGAGGGCCAGGTGAGGGCTGTGAGAGCCAGGTGAGGGCTGTTAAGGCCAGGTGAGGGCTGTGAGAGCCAGGTGAGGGCTGTGAGAGCCAGGTGAGGGCTGTTCGGGCCAGGTGAGGGCTGTGAGAACCAGGTGAGGGCTGTGAGAACCAGGTGAGGGCTGTGAGAGCCAGGTGAGGGCTGTGAGAACCAGGTGAGGGCTGTGAGAGCCAGGTGAGGGCAATAAGAACCAGGTGAGTGCTGTGCGAGCCAGCTTAGGGCTGTGAGAACCAGGTGAGGGCTGTGAGAACCAGGTGAGCTCTGTGAGAGCCAGGTGAGTGCTGTGAGAGCCAGGTGAGGGCTGTGAGAGTCAGGTGAGGGCTGTGAGAGCCAGGTGAGGGCTGTGAAAGCCAGGTGAGGGCCAGGTGAGGGCTGTGAGAGCCAGGTGAGGGCTGTTAGGGCCAGGTGAGGGCTGTGAGAGCCAGGTGAGGGCTGTGAGAGCCAGGTGAGGGCTGTTAGGGCCAGGTGAGGGCTGTGAGAGCCAGGTGAGGGCTGTTAGAGCCAGGTGAGGGCTGTGTGAGCCAGGTGAGGGCTGTTAGAGCCAGGTGAGGGCTGTGAGAACCAGGTGAGGGCTGTGAGAACCAGGTGAGGGCTGTGAGAACCAGGTGAGGGCTGTGAGAACCAGGTGAGGGCTGTGCCAGGTGAGGGCTGTGAGAACCAGGTGAGTGCTGTGCGAGCCAGCTTAGGGCTGTGAGAACCAGGTGAGGGCTGTGAGAACCAGGTGAGTGCTGTGAGTGCCAGGTGAGTGCTGTGAGAGCCAGGTGAGGGCTGTGAGAGTCAGGTGAGGGCTGTGAGAGCCAGGTGAGGGCTGTGAGAGCCAGGTGAGGGCTGTGAGGGCCAGGTGAGGGCTGTTAGGGCCAGGTGAGGGCTGTGAGAGCCAGGTGAGGGGCTGTTAGAGCCAGGTGAGGGGCTGTTAGGGCCAGGTGAGGGCTGTGAGAACCAGGTGAGGGCTGTGAGATCCAGGTGAGTGCTGTGAGAGCCAGGTGAGTGCTGTGAGAGCCAGTTGAGGGCTGTGAGAGCCAGGTGAGGGCTGTGAGATCCAGGTGAGGGCCAGGTGAGGGCTGTGAGAGCCAGGTGAGGGCTGTTAGAGCCAGGTGAGGGCTGTTAGGGCCAGGTGAGGGCTGTAAGCCAGGTTAGGGCTGTTAGGGCCAGGTGAGGGCTGTGAGGGCCAGATGAGGGCTGTTAGGGCCAGGTGAGGACTGTGATGTGGTTGGGGTCGGATGGCTCCAGGGCAGCATCCTTAATTGGGTCACAGAATACTTTAATTACGGCGGTTTTCCACATTCCTGCTCAGGAAGGAAGACAACTCAGAACACAATGCGAACCAGAGCGAGAACGAAGAACCCCGGTTGGACTATGTGCCCGTGGGGTACAGCTATGATAAAGCAGCCCTGTATCTGTGTACAAACAGCCTCTCAGCTGCTGGCAGTGATACTATAGATGCCGGGTGAAAGCCCAGGTCGCCCTTCGGGGCCTCTGCATCACCAGGGAGATGGTTGACGTGCCTCCGTCACCACGGCAATGTATCTGTGACACCTCGTAACACTGAACCTGTTTACACATCACTGTTGATGGAGTGTTGGATAAATGTCTAGTGCATCGTGCAGAAGATAAAGCAGGAGCATGTATTCTCGAGACGGCCGTGTGCGCGGAATTGGCAGCCCATTTCAGCTGTAGGGTAAACCACCACCTTCCTCAAATGTACTCTTCATCGTTGTAATGGGACACTTCAACATTACAGGTCCCTGCAGAAGCAGGATGTGAAGTACAGGCACAGGGGTTTGTCTCATTACATAATGTTACAGTTCTATGTTGCAGATCTATGTTACAATTCTATGTTTCAGTTCTATGTTACAATTTGACAGCATGTTCACCACTTTAGGATAAATTGGCAAATAATGTTTATTTAAATAATAGAGTAAAGAGTTGCATGTCAGAGGGGGGCAAGTACAATAGCTCAGTTTTAATTTTTTTATTTAACATTTATTTAACCAGGTAGGCCGATTGAGAACACATTCTCATTTGCAACAGCGACCTGAGAAAAAGCTGGGGATTGAACACAGGACATCATACAAAGCATGCACTCTACCACTGAGCTACACCAACATGCACTCTACCACTGAGCTACACCAACATGCACTCTACCACTGAGCTACACCAACATGCACTCTACCACTGAGCTACACTCTACCACTGAGCTACATGCACTCTACCACTGAGCACCAACATGCACACCAACATGCACTCTACCACTGAGCTACACCAACATGCACTCTACCACTGAGCTACACCAACATGCACTCTACCACTGAGCTACACCAACATGCACTCTACCACTGAGTTACACCAACATGCACTCTACCACTGAGCTACACCAACATGCACTCTACCACTGAGCTACACCAACATGCACTCTACCACTGAGCTACACCAACATGCACTCTACCACTGAGCTACACCAACATGCACTCTACCACTGAGCTACACCAACATGCACTCTATCACTGAGCTACACCAACATGCACTCTACCACTGAGCTACACCAACATGCACTCTACCACTGAGCTACACCACATGCACTCTACCACTGAGCTACACCAACATGCACTCTACCACTGAGCTACACCAACATGCACTCTACCACTGAGCTACACCAACATGCACTCTACCACTGAGCTACACCAACATGCACTCTACCACTGAGCTACACCAACATGCACTCTACCACTGAGCTACACCAACATGCACTCTACCAACCACTGAGCTATGCACTCTACCACTGAGCTACACCAACATGCACTCTACCACTGAGCTACACCAACATGCACTCTACCACTGAGCTACACCAACATGCACTCTACCACTGAGCTACACCAACATGCACTCTACCACTGAGCTACACCAATATGCACTCTACCACTGAGCTACACCAACATGCACTCTACCACTGAACTACACCAATATGCACTCTACACCAACATGCTCCAAGTTAGTAGTGTGGGAGTGGAGGGGAACGGCCCTGTAAGGGGGCCCAGTGTGGGAGTGGAGAGGAACGGCCCTGTAAGGGGGCCCAGTGTGGTAGTGGAGAGGAACGGCCCTGTAAGGGGGCCCAGTGTGGGAGTGGAGAGGAACGGCCCTGTAAGGGGGCCCAGTGTGGGAGTGGAGAGGAACGGCCCTGTAAGGGGGCCCAGTGTGGGAGTGGAGAGAAACGGCCCTGTCAGAGCTGATGGTTGCTGGAACGCTCAGCGGGAAGCCGGCTTGGCCCCCGGGATGCCCCGTTGCCACGGCGAGGACCTGGAATGCGTCCGGCACACAATGGTCTCCCAGGGCTCTGAGGGCACTTCGATTTGATAACCACATTAAAGACCCAGCAACATCTGTTGGGGTGCAGCAGAAAGGGGGCTGTACCCCCCCTCCACCCCCGGAACAACAATCATTAACCCTGAGGCCTGAGAGAGAACCGGGACAACGGCCCTCTATTTGTCAACCATCCTGAACCCACACTGAGGGGCCAAACAGCGTGAGAAGAGGAACCAGTCAGGGCTTCGACGCGGAAGAGACGGGGATGCTGGGAAATGGAGGTTCATCGTAGTTTATCCGAGTCATCAGCAGGATGACATCATGGGTTTTATGATCCACACATAAACAAACCTAATCCAGCATGAAGACCATGTCTGAAATGTCAACTCCACCGCAAGTGACTAATAATTTAACAACTATACTTCAGATCAAACAGCCGGTTGTTTGGGGTACACAGTCAAATAAACCCCTAATAATATCAGAACAAACAAATGGTCTTGTTGGAAATAATGTTTGACAGTCCACATGAAGGAAGCAGGCAGAGAAGGTGAGAGAGGAGGTGTAAAGAGGAGGTGTAAAGAGGAGGTGTAAAGAATAGTTTGGGAATCACATTTTAGCCACAGGCCTCCTTATTCACCTGCACAGATTGCAGAAGGCCAGCTCTCCTGGACGTATAACCAGGAGACAAATGCACTTAGGGACTAATGGAGAAGAAAGGAGAAAATAGGGACTAGTGGAGGAGAAGAGAGGAGAAAATAGGGACTAGTGGAGGAGAAGAGAGGAGAAAATAGGGACTAGTGGAGGAGAAGAGAGGAGAAAATAGGGTCTAGTGGAGGAGAAGAGATGAGAAAATAGGGACTAGTGGAGGAGAAGAGAGGAGAAAATAGGGACTAGTGGAGGAGAAGAGAGGAGAAAATAGGGTCTAGTGGAGGAGAAGAGAGGAGAAAATAGGGTCTAGTGGAGGAGAAGAGACCAGAAAGAAAAACCTGACAGATGCATGAGGTGGAGGTAAGCCTTTAGTCCATCCATTTGTGCTTAGTATGTGTTGTCTCTGTATCGGACACACACACACACACACACACACATACACACACACACACACACACACACACACACACACACACACACACACACACACACACACACAGAGCATCCTCCTCTTCAGTGTATTCTGAGGAGGTGAAGGGCTTGCAGGAGGTGCCCCAATGCGTAAGATCTGAAGTGTCTCCACACAGCTAATCCCATTCACAGCAGCTCATTACATGGGCAATTACGTGCTGGGTGGTGGGGGGTGGTTTGGGGGTTGTGGGGTACATTACGGAAGCCCCCCACAACCCACGCCTCCCTCGCCTCGGTCCTCCATGCTCCTTCTTCACCTGGGCCAGCTTCATGTGGACACCTGCCTCCACTAATGAAGATCCATGGTTTCATTTCCATTTCTGGAGTCATATCAGAGACAGCGACGCGACACGGCGGCGGCCCGGCGGCCCGGACCAGGAGGCCTGGATTGAAATGACGTGGATAAGTGCTCTGGCAGCTGTTGGTACGAGGAGCTGAAGTGGGGTGTCTGTTGGATGGGGAGGAACCTGTGTTTAGACTGGCCACAATGGAAGCCATGTGCTACCACAGCAGCTAGCTAACAATGATGAGGTCCTGTATGGTGCAAGAGGAGTGGAGAGGAAGAGGAGTGGGGGGGTAAAAAGTGGAGAGGAGGAGGAGGGAGTGGAGGTAAAACAGGAGGAAAGAGGAAGAAACGACACGTTTGTTGACACTGGGAATATACAGCAACTAACTCCCATTAAAAACATATGATTCACCTGATCTGAACTCAATGTTCCAGATTGTTCTCTGTCAACATAACAAACTGCTTAAAGGACTATTGGCCTGGTTTTAACAGGCAGGGTTGGATAGGTTGCTTTTAAAAGTAATCCAGTACAGCTAGAGGTTAACGGTCAAAAATTGTAATCAGTAATGTAACTTCTGGATTACTCATGTGAAAACTCAGTGAAAGTAATCAGATTACTTTCAGTTAATTTTAAGACTGCCTTCTTATTAGGAAACATAAGCAGACACATAAAAGTATAAAACCTTTTGTTTACATACCTGAGCATATATGGTTTTTCTATTTGACCTTATTGATTATGTGCTGGGTTTGTATTCAAACCTCTTGACATTTGTGTGACCAAGCTATGATGTGAGAGTAGGTTTGGTGGTCAGATGAGACGCAGAGTGCAAATATAGCACTGTCTTTGGCTAGAGAGACTATTCCTTTAGTGAAGTATGGTGGTGGCAGCATCATGCTATGGGGATACTTCTCATTTATAGCTACTGGGCACCATGTTAAAATAGAAGGAAGAATGGATGGAGCAAAATAAAGGAAAACCCCTGTTTTAGTCAAGAAAATATAACGTAAGAGAGCAACTACAGCTTTCATTAGGTGATCTCAAGTAGGTCAAAAGTCATCGTAATGCTGGAATGGTTGAAGAACAAAATATTGATTCTTGCGGCCAAAGTTCTGACCAACCTGGACAACCTGGAGCAAACTAGACAAGCAGAATGATTCACAATCACATCAGACCCTCACATGATCATGCCTTGGCTTTAAAATCCAGGCTATTCACATTTCTCAATGTAAATATCCTGTAGAAACATCTGCATGTGCTTCTGCCCCCAGGCTGCCTGACAGACCCTCTCCACTGAGCTGATTCTTCTCTTAGTATTCTAACAGCAGACGTAAACTATGGTCGACATGGATTTAAATGTGTATGGCTTATCATCTGGGGAACACGAATATAGTCACTGTCTGAGTCGTTGCTGGCATTTAAAGGTACATTTGGAATCCCAAACATGGAATATTGGTATGTTTTTTATGAATTGAATTTATTACATGTCACCTAGAAACAAGTGCTTAACCTTTCCCAATAAACGGATGATGTAGTACCCAGACGGATGATGTAGTACCCAGATGGATGATGTAGTACCCAGATGGATGGATGGCGTAGTAACCAGATGGATGATGGAGAGCCCAGATGGATGATGTAGTACCCAGATGGATGATGTAGTACCCAGATGGATGATGTAGTACCCAGATGGATGATGTAGTACCCAGATGGATGATGTAGTACCCAGATGGATGATGTAGTACACAGATGGATGATGGAGAACCCAGATGGAAGATGTAGTACCCAGATGGATGATGTAGTACCCAGATGGATGATGTAGTACCCAGATGGATGATGTAGTACACAGATGGATGATGTAGTACCCAGATGGATGATGTAGTACCCAGATGGATGATGTAGTACCCAGATGGATGATGTAGTACACAGATGGATGATGTAGTACCCAGATGGATGATGTAGTACCCAGATGGATGATGTAGTACCCAGATGGATGATGTAGTACCCAGATGGATGATGTAGTACCCAGATGGATGATGTAGTACCCAGATGAATGGATGATGTAGTACCCAGATGGATGGATGATGTAGTACCCAGATGGATGATGTAGAACAAGAGAAAACTGATCAGAACCATCTTGGCTCATGAGCACTTCTACATACTACTGCTGGCAGAACTAGTATAGAGACAGGTTGTGTGTGTGTGTGTGTTTTCTGTCTGTCAGTACAGTGGTCGAGGCTTCCCTTGTTAACATGTTCTAGCTCATTGACTCCTCTCAGCACCCTGGAGGAGTGTGCTTCCTCACCTGCGCCAGATGAGGTGGAGTAAGGCAGAATCAAAACAAACAGAAGGGTTTCCATATCACAGCTGCCTGCCGCTCCTTTACTTCAACTGATTTTATTCAGT